ATTAAAAATGCTATATCTCCTTTCTCTTATTCCGTTGCTAGTAAATTTTCGTTTTCTTATAAATGTATACAGGTAAGAAAAATATTTTCCCAGGAAATTGTGCCACAATCGCGATTCATAAATTTCTGACATTTCATCTGGAAAACGTTGCTAACACTACTCTCATTTATGAGAATATTGTAAAACAATATCATACGCAATCTCTACCTGCTTTATCTTGCGAAAACTGGATAATTAACGAATTTTCACAAATGAAGACGTGTTACGTGGAAAGGAAAGTGACTGGAAACAATTATGAAACACGTTACTAATGAAATTGAAATGTTATTCATAATATTTTCTCAACTGCCAAAAATAATTTCAGAAATAATTTAAACGTCATAATTCTATCTCAAGAATTACGATAATATTACGTTTATATAAAATATGTAAATCTATTCTCTTTATTTTGCGAAAATCAGCATCGGAATACGTCGCTAGAGAAAGGAGAGAAGGGAAACAAATGATTTGCGTAGGCGAGCTTGAATGAAAAAGATATAAGCATAAATAACCATAGGAAAAGAAACAGGCTAGGAATGCCGACGCGTTGGTCACTAAGACCCCGCCAGCTTTCTAACAACAATCACTTTTATGTAACGGCCATTATTCGTCCCTTTTTATTACAACAAAGGTAAATACACAAAGACGCGCAACTTTCGCCGCGTAATTGCGCCGCGGACGGTACGCGATTCATACCGTTTGACAAATATTTCGTGGCATAATAAAAATCAGAATATATCGACGGGCAGTTACATATGGGGGATAACCTTTCGGAATTATCCGACGAGGGACTAGAAGACCTCTTTGGCGACCAACCCTTCAAACGTACCGGGTGGCACTGATAAATGACATCGCGTTTGACCGAATCTACTACGAAATATTATCTGTATACTATAACGGAGTCATTTCAATCACCCTGTAGACGATCGTCGATTGCTGGCAACTTGCGATCAGGTTCTAACAGTATCCTGTAGTTCTTTCAGAAATACAATATGAGAAAAACGTCTATTACACGTCTATAATATGAGGAAAACGTAAATTAAAAAAAATTTAATGTTTAAATTGTTCCATATATGTCAGTATATAACAATTTAAATGTGTAATGTAATTTAATATGTAATAACAGTATAATTAATTTTATTGTGAATTTACAAAATTTTTTTAACAGATATTATTTAAAGAAAAATTCTTTAATAATAACAAATTTAAAGTTCATCACAAGGAGAACTCCAGAATACTTTCAATGGAAGTAATAATCTATATGCGAATAGTAATTAATGAAGAATTATACAATTATTCTCGATCGCTTTATCTCGAATTGATTTTCCGCAATATTTTTTTTTTACAATATAATTCTTATTTTCTGATACATTACGTACACAATTCTATATACACATAACGCAAGAAAGTCGCACTTCATACACTATACATAACGAAATACAAAAATAAGTGGCAATCCTTTTTGAGTATAAAACGACTCGATGAAACCCAAGGAGCATACAAAAGTCAACACAAAAAATCAAAAACATCGAAATGATTTTAGTTTGATACTTAAAGTCAATAAACAGTCAAATTTTGTAACAAAAAAATCTTAATTTTTATGTCAAAATACGTCATTTTGATTTTCTCTTGACTTGATGTGTGCCTTGAGTATAACTGTACAAAATTATTTTCCAAAGACAAAAAATTTTGTAGGAAGAATTAATTTCATCGACTCTATGTACTATATATAATTATTACATACATATCCTGATAATTAATATAAATGTATATAATCATCTCAAGAGATGCATATAATAATTATTATTTAACAAATCAGAAAGAGTTTATAATTTCTTCACTGTTCAATTACTGTTTAAATAAAATTTGATAAATAACAAGATTTTCGTAGAAGGAAAGCCTTTACTGTCAAACATTTTTTTTACATCTTATATCTTCTCTCAAAGTAGTCAAATTCATTTTTTATTTTTATTTCGTGATTTGAAATTAGAATTTTTATTCCTACACATTGTATATTATCAATTATGAAAAGGAACGAGAAAGTGAGAGGAGTACATGTACGAGCGGAAATGATCGTTTTGATTCGAAATAAGCGGAAGTCGACTCTAGTCCGTACTCTTGATTCTCGACGAAAATTTGAGAGATTCGACGAAGGGCGATCGCCACCCTAATGGCAAATATTACACATCAACACACTCAACGAAGACTATCAGGAAACATGATGGTATCTTAGCGCTATACATTATATATATTTAAATACATATATATTTATATACATATAAATCATATAAATCGATAATAATTAGACATTTATTTACAATCGCAACGAGGATATAACAAAAGTTAAACTATAGCCTAAGAAAAAGAAGACATAGAACCAACAATTTCAGGTACAGAATGAAATTAATCAATTATGTACAAATTTCACTTGTAATTATTGTAATTGGGGAAACGCCATAAACGTTCGCGATACTTACTATTCATTTCTTTGGATACTCAAACGAATGAGCTGTTGCCTGATTAAAATCCCGACGATCAAATTCAGGCTAATCGAAAAATGAGCTCGGCTCGCGGTACGTATATAGTTTGTATACATACAGGTGTTCAACGTTGCAGCAATCGCTCGCGGTGAACGTAAATTACCGGTTTCTCCAATTCCCCCTCTCTCTTCCGCTCTCTCTCTTTCTCTATTTCTCTGTCTCTCTTTCTTTTTCCGTCATTCCCCTCATGTTACGATCGGCCACGCTTGATCTCGCTGATACGCATAACTGCACGAGAAGTTATATGCCGATTCTATATTTTTAAATGCAAACAAACGCAAATTGTCTATGATCGTGTAACAAATAAAGATGAAATTTAAGGTCTGCGCTTTTTCAAAGAATGTTCTGAATTGGTATACATTGACGATATAGAAAATACGATCATAATAATAGAAATTTTTCTTCTTACAATCAAAAGAATCCGTTCTGTTTTGAAGAATGTTCTGAATTGAAATATATATTGGTTTTGCAAAACTGAGAAGGATTCATAAAGATTGTCGAAACACTTATTGCAGCGAACACTAATTTAGAACAATCTTCGAAAAGGAAAATGGATTTCTAATACTGAGAGACAAGAAATTTCTATACGATCGTATTCTTTATGTTCACTTTCAAACGTGCACATAACTATAAGTATCAACATCTTTTTCCTTTACTTTGATGGCCGATCGCGACAACCAGCAATTTGAGAGAATCAAGCACGGTTCGGGGCCTCGAGAGCGTGAAAAAGAGCCCGCGCGCACTGCGACTTTCTCTCGGCGCAAGTGTGACAATCATCGCCCCGATACAATCAACAACGTTGATTCTAATCTAAATCGTTTGATAAACAATTAAATCGAGTTTGCTTCATATATCGAAAATCCATGAGGATCATCGAGAAACTGATTGCCAAAACAAAATGATTGTCAAACAAAATGAGAGAAATTGTAGGTGACGAAAAATAAATCAATACATTATAAATGCCTTTAAGAGCGCAGGATATCAGTGTGTAAATAATTTACGCTATACAACAATTGATAAAAATATATCGTTTCCATTCATGGTTCGGATCCTCTTTAGAACATTTTAATTAAGCGAATATCTAAAATGAATTACGATTGTTATCAATAAGAGCCCAGACAGAACATAAAATCATAATAAAATCATGATAAAGTCAAGTACAGGATCATCCAGCAAAAGTTGGACAATGTCACATCGGAACGCACCCATAAATTCGACCTAACTTTGATATAAATCATTTAACATATGAGCAATGTAATGTGATGTGTGACATGAGAAGTGAACTACGAGTGAAAATTATCCAAACATTTTACGACAATTCACGAAATATGATCAGAATTACATTCCAAAAACTTCGTGATTATTTTGATCAGTTTAACCGAATAATCCAACCGAACTCATCATTATTGTAATATAATAGAGAAATTCGAGAAAACTGAATTAATACAAAATATACGAAAACATCAATATGTGAACGTCTAGTCCGTCGCTGAAATTAAGCCGATAATGTGTCAAAGTGATATCAAAAATTTCACCGAACATATCAGAGTCTGCAAGAAGAACCAAGGTGATCATTTAGCTAATATTCTTTAAATAATTTTGCCATAGTCTGCTGAAGATATTTTGCCGAATAAAAAAGGATTCTGCCAAAAATGATGTGTTTTATTTAAGAAAAACTTTGTATGATTCTTATTGGAGTACTTTGTAGAAATCATTTTAAGAAAAGTCATAATAATGTCATTGTATATATATATATATGTTTTTTTTCTTTTAATAATAATTTTGTGGTGAATTCTTGATATCCTTTCTGTCTTTCTTTCTCTTATTATGATTGTTCTTAAAATAATTTCTACTTGATATTTTGATCTTATTACGATTTGTGTTTCTGTCTGAAATTTCGGAGATTTTAATTAATATTTACATTTATCAATGACGTGATAGAAACGGAAATCAGTCACGATAATAATTTTCGGATTTTTATATATCGCAGTTTGTTCGATTGGAAAATATTTTCTAACTTTAACACTGGCTACAAAAACCTGTATAATTTATGAAAATTTATGCTGAGAGAAAGATATAAGAATAATGAAATAATTGAGTAATTACTCCGTCCTTTGAGTTCGCTATTTCATTTTCAATGAAGCGATCGTGAATTCGAGGATATATTAATTCTTAACCCTCTAATAATAAGATGGGGTTGGATATGACTTCAATTTTACAACGCACATTTTACGTTGTTAACGGAAGAACAGATTTTACATTATATTACTTAAGTTCTTTTACACATTTTGTATATTAATTATATTTAAGAAATAAACAAAACAGCATCAAATCCAACTCTATTTTTCTTGATTTTGAAAATCCATCTTATTAGAGGATAAAGTTTTGAAATGTCCTGAAAGAATGATTCACTAATTGCATTTACTTGAAATAATGTTTCTTTCTCACGGAAGCGCTGATGCATGGTGGCTCGTGTTTCGAACACGGATCTTTCCATGTGTTCTTCGCGGATGGATCGCTAAATCTCGTTTTCGCAAGATTCATCGTTTTTTGGCAAGCGTCCTGCTCCAGATCGCCCTCAAAGAATCGACACATCTCTCTCACGGGTAGAGCTCGGGCACCTCGGTTGAGATCGTGCAATGACCGGGCGCGTTGTTTGCCTTTGGGACTAGGCTTGCAAGATGTTCGGCCAAGATCTTCCGTGCTTCTGGCCAGGCGACCGCCTAATCTCGAAAGGGATTCGAATAAAGTCAGCTTCTCCCGTACCGGCACGTATTTGTCTACCCTCTGACATCGCTCCAAGAGTTTGGCAACATCCTCCTCGCAAGGTGGTACCGTTAAAACCGACGGAGAGCTCGGGGATACAATTGCCGGGCAATCCGTGGATTTTAGGCAGGGCTGCGACGACTGACGGGGAACGGGAATTCTAGAAGACAGAAGAGCCAGCCGCTCTTTCCGCTCGCGAAGAGTTTCCACATTAGCGATGGTGAGATCGGTCATCAATTGCTGAGCTTGCGATAGCTGTACCTTGTCACGAATGATTCTCCTCTCTCTGGCTCTACTTCTCCTCTCGTTGAGGTCCAACCTGAATATTCCAGGACAGTTGTTTCCACTTCTAGGACTATTATTGTTCCGTGTATCGTCCTCATTTCGATAATTTTCTTCGGTGAACCTCACTGTGGAGGTCTCGTTCGATTTGAGCGGAGGTAATCGATCGACGATCTCGTTTTGTTTTTGTATGTCGGTCGACGTAAGAAGTACCTTTTTAGGCGAACGGGTCGGATAAGTATCGTCGTTATCATTGGCAGAACAAATCCTGGTCCTGGTTCTACCGTAGATCTTCGGCAAATTGTTGTTGTTTTCCTCGGCTCTTGCTTTCCGCCTTGCATCCTCTTCGAGGACTCGTCGACTTCTTGCTTCGTTTTCGCGTCTGCGCGCCTCTTTGTACCTCTGTATTCTCTGTTCCCTCGTTTCTGGTTCCGGTAAGGGGACGCTGCAGGAGTCCACTGTATCGCTCGACCGGCATACGCCACCCCAAGGGAGACTATCGTCGCTACCCTCGCTGCTTTCGCTGCAACCCCACGCTCTGCTGACCGGTTGGTCCTTGTTGCTTATCACAGTGGGTATGCTTCGAAATTCTCCCAACAGGTCCTCGTCGCTCGAGTTACTGCTGGACCAACCGCGTAATTCACTTCTCGCCCTCCTCCTCGAATCGTCGATGATTGTCGTCGTGCACAATGCCGTCTTCTCCGTCGGTGAATCGCTCGGCCAGCAACGTAATTCGCTGCGAGATCGCCTTCGCGTTTCCGTCGGGCTATCCGGCAACGGAACCGGACCTCTCGGACAAATGGTCAATATCTCCAGGAAGTTCAAGCATCGTTGAGCGCGAAACGGCGTTTGCCGAACTAGTTCGGCCGCAATCGCTCTGACCCAAGACCAATAGATCGGTTCCGTATCCGCCTAAAAAAATAAAAGGATTGACATGTTGTATTTAAACAGTTGTGTAATTAAACATTTGAAATAACTGATAAGATAATATTGTTCAATGTAAAACATTGAAAATTAGTCAAACATAAAATAATTAAAGAAGATTGGCTCCAATTAAATATACGATTAATGCTAAATTTTAGCGCATAATTAATATTTATAAATATATAAATTTTAAATATATTTTTCAGTGTTTTTTTAAATAAGTTAATTATTTAATATACGAAAGAAATTAGCTATTTAAACTGCGCGACAATTATTATCGGACTTAACAATCGATTTAATTGCAATGTAAGTCCTGTTCTTTTTAGTTAAACTTCTTGCACGATTGATCTTTTACCTTTTCCTTTCACATTAATGAGAAAAAGAAAAAGGGTGAAGTGTGCGAGAAGTTTAACTAAAAAGAACAGATCTGTTTTATTATTTTAGTTTCAGTTCATGATTGCATTTCAAATCCGACAGTATTCGAGCGCTCAATTTAAATAAATGAAATATTATTGAATATATTTAAAAATATATAAATAATATTAGGCCAGATTTATAAGTCGTACTTAGTCCTCCTTATATCTCTGTAATTTTAGTTTATCATTGAAAATTAAAGAAATTAAATTTTTAAATCATGTATAATAGAAAATATTGGGATAAAAAAATACGCTTTTTTTAAGCGAATGTTCGAATTTTCTTAAGGTTACTTTTACTTTTGTTAATATAATTGTAAGCATCAACAACTAACTTGGCCTTGTTATTCTAATTTTATTTGAATTTATTCGTTGGAACCTTTATCTAAATTCATTTTGAAATCTTAAGTATTTTAAGTATCCTAAATAATTTTGGCACTATATTGCTTATGTGGACATACAGTCATGATGTATAAAAAGACATGAAACTTTTTTAAAGAAAGCCTCGGCTTTTGAGAAAGTTAGACGGCAATTAAAATTAATGTCAAGACGATTAAAATTGATTGATAATTCCGATAACGAAGTTTTCATACGACTAGGTAAAGTGGCTTAACATATAGACGAGAATGTAGGACCAGCAAAACATTGCCAACGGTTATGTACATTCGAATTTCATATTCTCGTACGATAGGTATCTCGATAGGATGCTGTGTGGAGTAGTCGAACGAGTCTGTCTACCCGCAGGATCGACCGTGACACACGATTTCGCTGGCCGGCGCGATTCGAAAGTCGCCGGTTCGCTCGAGTGCACGAAGAACGACGGACTCCAACAACGTGGAATTTGCTCGTTAACCACCGGCGGCGTGTCGATCATTACCATCCTCGACGGGAACAAATCTCTCTGTCGCCTTGCCTGCCGAGGCCGACCTTCGTGCGTCGAGCGGCGCGTTCGACGACACTGGCCGATATCAGGCCTGTCTGGAAAAAAGCTCGTCGACAGGTTTGCCCGTTCGTTGTCTATCTCGAGGACAACATGGAAAACCCGCTTTCAATCGAAAACCATGACGCAGTATCCAGCTACGAATGAGCGACAAGAGAAACACCGCGAAGAAGTCGTATGAGAGGTCGGCCGGATGGTTTTCTAGGCAACGATGCTCATTGATCCGCGATTGTAATCGTCGCGGCGCATGATCATCAATGGGACGCACGCGTATAGTCGCTGTAATTGTCTCAATTAGCATCGCCCAGCTGACTCAGCGTGAAAACGTCGGAACATATCCTATTATTACAATGTCGAAGGATTCATCTGATTGACTGGCCATGCGCTGGTAAGATAGCCGTCCTTGGAACGAGCCTATAAAGGAGGCGAGGAACTTCTACGAGAGCGTGCGATGGTGGGATTCCTTGACAATGGCGGGTCATGGGAGAGCGGTGCAACAATCTCCCACGCACTTATCACAGTTAGCGGATCGGCAAGCGGGTATGTTGACCTTGTCTACTGGCCTTATTAAGATCTCGCGATTCGACGGGCAGGCGCGGGTGTGTTACATCACAGAACCGTCGTTCCTCCCTTGCCACCTGGACATCCGCGGCCTTGGCAAGGATACCTCATACATGTTGTTTAAGCTCTGGCGTTTCGAACGCATTATATCTCCACAAACGCGTGCCGATGCGTCTCCGTCGAAGGTAACTCGAGCGAGCGAGCGCGCGTCTCATCGGTTCAGGTATAGATCGCCGCGCGCTAAGAGAGCTTCTAATTGGGTTACTCCGTGATATAGAGAGAAAAAAGCAAAGTGAAAATCCGACGCCGACGCTATACGCCATCGCGCCAGGGCGAAACTCGTAAAACGAGTTTGAAGGACTCTTCGCGCGATCTGAAAGTGGTCGGAGATCGACGATGCGACTTCTATGCAAAAAGGAGAAACCTACGTGTGGATTTGAATTTTGGGTGATTTTCTAGAGATCGGAGCCTATACACAGGGATTGTATAACGCGTTAGAAATCGAATGGCGACGCTGGCGGTCCGTAATTAGAAGTTGCAGCGTTCAGCGAAACGGGAGCCCGCGTGGCTCGCCCGGCGCACGTGAAAGTGTTTACGGCTGAGGAAACGGATCGTGCCTGAGATAAAGGCCATTTACATGCAATTACATTGCGTGGTGCGCGGCATATTATTCCTTCCCTGGCCTCTCCCATCCCGTCTTCGTCCGCGCTTCTGTCGTGCCTTACAGTCGCCGTCGACCGGCGAGGAACGCGAGACCGGCCGATTCTGTCTCGTGGAACCATGCCAAATCGCGAACGCTTTCGGCTCTCACGAAAGCCTCTCCAGCTCGAAACATGCCGTTGCGCTGGTCAGGGATCAAGAGTAATCGGGAAATTCCTTTTCAATTGACTACAAATCGATTTCTCTTACAAAATCTTTATGATTTGTGAAATCGGTAAATTGATGTTTATCAATTTATAAAAGATAGAAAGAGAAATTGTGAAGAAGCTTTCATTAGCGGTAATATTATAATTACTTCAAGGGTAAAGAATTTAGAATTTTAGAATTTTCAAAAAATCGTTTTTTTTTTTTTGCTTAAATGATTGTTTAAGATTTTAGAAATAAGGTACAAAAAGTCTTATAGCAAAGAAAAATTTCTAAGTGTCACTTTTAGAAGTTTAAAGCGTCGTACTTTTCGATAAGATTTGTAGCTTTTGTGAACGAGTCTTTCTAAAAATAATAAAGGAATTAGTTACTTGCCACTCGATTATCTTTAAAAAGAAGGATCAGGAAGAAAGGAACATTAATGAGGAAGGCCTATTGTATGATGCATGGCAGATTAAAGTTAAACATTTCTATCGCTGATTGTTATATAAAACTTTAAACGCATTTTTCTCGAAATCACTGTTCTCAAGCTGGCTGGAAACAATTCTCACAAATCTTGATCGATTTACTTAAAATTTTAACTGTAACTTCAAAATTGTATTCCTCCCCAAAAAAAGACGAATTTTTTATGTTGCATACGTTTTTTTATATGTATAAACAATTTTTACCTATTTTTTACCCTTTAAATTTAATATTTACTTCAAATTTGTACCATTTTTTCAAAAAATGATATATTGCAATTTCCGTATGTTTTCTCTATTTTGAAATGTAGATTAAAAAAATTTTTTGGTTTTTTGTTTTAGGTTAGAAATTGTCGGAGTTATCGTTCTGGCCGCAGAGCATTGTTTATGAGAAAACATTACCATCTGCAGCTGTACCGCCATTTTGTAACAAAACCACTATAAAAAATATTTTTTTACACTTCAATGAATGTACAATCAAATGACCAAGAAGGGACAGAGGGACAAAAAAATTGATATTAATCGTCATAATCAAATTTTAATAGATAAACATTTTTTTAAGACTTTTGAATGAAATCAATATGAATATTATATTATTACATGGTAAATAACTAATAACACTTAATTAATAGCATCATATAAGTCACAATCAAAATTGCATAAAGTTATAAAATTACAAAAATGTATCACATTTTATGTTTTAAAATTGTACTTTTATACGCTATGTATTTCACGAATAATTTTTGAGTTTTTTTAATAAGAAATCATAAAATTCTTTGCACGTTAAGTTAATTTTCATACTGATTTTAATGTTTTTATTAATAATTGTATTCTTTCAGGATTCCATAATGTGGGTAATTAAAGAAAAACAACGCTTTCCTTGTTATATGTCCAATGAAGATAGCTGATTAGCGCTGAAAATGCGCTTTCAAATCGCAGCTACAGTGCTAGCAGATACACTTACTAGATGGCAGCTCAATATGTGACGCTTCCCACCACAATTGCGTTTGGGTACGTATGTATCTCTTAAAAAAGAGGGACAATTTTATGACTATCGTATTAATTTGGAACAAAATATGGAACGCGTTGTTTAGAGGGACAAAGAGTTAAAATTTGTAATTGTCCCTCTCAATTTAGACGATTTGTCACTAGAATGTACAACAAAGACCTAAAATATATTTTTTATTTCTTTTATTACATTTCCGAAAAAAATTTATAAAGTTCAGCTTATTTTTCGTGCTCTAGAATAGCTTTACCCCTTAAAAGAGCTTTTTGAATCACTGAATAATGATTCCAAAGGAAGCTGCCAAGTGAATGATTTAAATGTATTTTGGTACGAGATATTCTGTATTATTGTCCGAAATAACTGTAGGTACGTGAGATATATTTGTTTTGAACCTAATTATGATAATAGCCGAATGCTGGCTGAGAGAGAGAGAGAGAGAGAGAGAGAGAG